GGGGGTGGTGGTACAGATGGGCTGGGAGGCTGACCCAGGGCACTGGGCAGAGGGGGGCAGGCCCCCTGGTCTGTGAGGCCATGTGAAGAGCCCAGAAACAGACCCACACCACACGGCCAATTGGCCCTCAGCCACGGTGGCCCTGCTAGTATTTGAGACCCTGGTGAGGCAGCTTCCCACACCACAGCGACCCTCTAGACCCTCAGAAGCAACAACCAAAACATGGGCGATACAGACATGCTTTCTCTGCCCACCCTGTGTGTCCAGCCTGGTCCCCTCTGCCCAGTACACAATGACGGGCCACCTGTCCTGGGCCTAGAGTGGCTGACAGGCCTCCTCTTGTCTTCCCATGTCCTGTCATCTGACGCCAGATTGATTTTCGGGAATTCGAATTCCTGTAACATGAAGGTAGTGGGTCTTTAGTGAACGTAACAAGTGGCTTGTGAGGGACAGAAGCTCTCCACTGGGGTGGCAGATGGGAACTCGGGCAGACACACAGGCGGTGAAAGGCGAGACACCCTGCTGTCCGCCTGGCTGAGCCTCTACCCGGCGGCTTTGATCACTTCCACAGCACAGCCTACAGCCAGCACCACCGCCTGGCTCCAAAACACATCATCCCAAACGGAAGCTCTGCCCTCCCCACACACCCCTGCCCCGAAAGAGACTGTGGACTCCCAAATACACCCTGTGGCAGTTACATAATCTGGTGCCAACTTGCGAAGGGGTGGAGTCTAGCCTGTCAATCGGTTCACAGCTTGATGACCTCATTTGGAAATGCCGCAGAGGTAAATAGCTCACTGAAGGCAGGACACATAGACCCTCTCTGCTTCGTCTCCCTGCGAGATACTCCTGTTGACAAGACACATGGAGCTACGCTGATGGCAGCCAGAGCCCTGGAGCTGGAGGAGCCACATGGAGACCCACACCAGTGCTGAGATGCTTCCACCGCCACTGGATCCACAAGACTTCCCACCCACTGGCCTGTGATCTTCCTGCACTCCATCATTGCATGTGTTGCGTGAGTCTAAAGAGGAATTTCCAGACTGGTATCAGACATATAGGCTAATCGGACTTATGGGCTTGATCTGGATTGGACTGGGATGTTTTCTTAATATACAATTACCCTTTTATATAAAGGGCTCTCTTACACATGTTTGAGTGTCTATGAATTTGTTTCTCGAGTCAACCCGGACTAACACACAGCTAAAGGCTAGTTAGTACTTGTATGGACCCATCCTTAGTCAGTGCGCCTCTTTAGAGTCTTCCTGGAAGAAAAGTAAAGAGAGGGTGCGGGAAAAACATGATAGCAATGAGAAGATGGGAAAGGGCGAGGAGCCACCTAGAGGTGATGTCTCCCATGACCTAAGAGCAGGGCAGGGACAGGACACACCAAGGCAGCGGGGAGGCAGGGCTAGCGTGGCTGAGAGACTGGTTACGAGAAGCAAATAAACAAAGAGTGAGAAGATCAGTAAAGACATTGAGGTTCATCCAGTCGGTGTCTCACTGTCATGGCTCAAATTGCTCATGTCCCCCCAGATATGCCTCAGCTTGACTCGGCCATGCGTCTCCGCAGTGTGACAGTTATCGAGCAGTGCGGTCATTCCCTGTGGGGGAGCAGCTGAGGGGGATGCAACACCCTTACTCTGGTTGCAAGGAGAGCTTCTTGGGATGTGGCCTGCACCCCCTTCTACTCACGGGATACAAAGGAGAGGAATACCTCTTAGCACCATAAAAGGAGATCCAGGAGCAGAAAAGGTTATTTGGACCCAGAGACCCCGCATCGAGAAGGTCAACAGCCAGGGAGGATGGATGCCGGGACACGTGGAGCACTCCAAGAACTGCTGGGCTCACGGTTGCTGAAAGGAGAGGAGGAGTGGCCCCCGAGGCGGACAGAGGGAGCAAGCATCCCCTTCCGCGGGTGGCCTGCATTTGGGCTCTGTGAGAGCACCCTTTCCATGCATGGAAGGCGTTCACTCATCTTTCTGTTGTGGCAGCATGAGGTAACCCGGACGTTCACCAGGGAGATTCCTACTCACAATCACGGAAAGGTGGAAGGTGAACAAGAGTCCAGAGGTGTTGGATTAGAATCGAAGGTATGGCTATGAATCTGTTTTCTGTGAACATACACAAATATATAGTGAGTCACGAAGTCCTGGTGGCACCCCGGTTACAGGATGAGCTGCTAATCACAAGGTCAAAGCCACCAGCCTCTCTGAGAGAGAAAATGATGGCTTGGTGCTCCCATAAAGATTTCCAGCCTTGGGGATACAGGGCCAGTGCTCATCTGTCCCTTAGAGATGAGTCAGAACTGACTGGCAGGTAACGCACCGCAACACCCCCCCCACCCCCGCCCACCGTGCACGTGTGTACACACACTTCCTTGTTGTTTGCTGTTGAGTCAGTGTCACTGAATGAGGTGCTGCCCGGTCCTAACCATCTTTACAACTGTTGGTCTGTCTGCACCCACCTCCTCTAGGCCGGCCTTGTTCTGAGAAACCTGGCGGCTTTCTCTAGCGATCGTTCTTCCTGCTGGCTTGTTCACAGTAAGTGGGCAGAAGTCTCACTTCTAAGAAAGCTTCTGATTTTAGCCCCTGGCCACAGGTGAGGGCCTCAGCTTTACTATCAGACAGAGATTGCTGTAAACTTGATGGCGGTGGACCGAACCATGGCATAATATGACCTCCTTCTTGAGCCGCTCCAAATTGTTCTAGGCTCAAATATTTCTCACTTGTTCCATGATAGAAATGTCTTCTGTGGCTTTTTAAATAGTTGGTGGTCTTTTCTTTCTTAATTTTTATCTTTATGTTATCATTGCTGTTTCATTTTGTTTTGTTTTTTATTGTTTCTGTTAGGTTTCCATTTATGAAGCACAGAAGCATAGTCAGTAACTGATGCAATGGTTTATGGCAGGCGTCCTCAAACTACAGCCCCGAGGTCCACGTGGCCCGCCTTGGACATTTATCTGGCCCGCCGGGTGCTTTTGCCCCGTTTGGTTTTTTCACTTCAAAATAAGATATGTGCAGTGTGCATAGGAATTTGTTCATAGTTTGTTTTTAAACTATAGTCCGGCCCTCCAACAGGTCTGAGGGACAGTGAACTGGCCCCCTAATGGGTGGGGGTGCGGGGAGGTGGGGAGCATGAGGGGAATTGGAAAGCAAACAATGAATGTGGGGGGGTAGGGAGAACTGAGGATATATATACAACGTTTTTTTAAAGTGATTTAACTGGAAGTGTATGCTATTGAGATAATGGTTGTGCAGCACAGAGGAGAGTATAATCATGATACTGAATTAGACAAGGAGAAGTTGGAGAACACTTTGTTGTGTATATTTTTGCCACAAATTAAAAAATAGTTACACTAATAACAGTGAGTACACGGAAGAAGAAAATGTTCTAAATCGATTGTGGTGATGATTATACAACTCCTCTCGATATGACTGAACCATTGAATGGTATGACATGTGGATGAAGCGCCAATGAACTGCTTGGGTTTTTAAAGAAAGAAGCATTCTGATTGTATTTCTTCCAAGCCAGATCAATTTGTCCTTCGGAGCTTCCACGACCGACATATTTGATACTCTGTCCACACAGTAGTTTGAACACATGCCTCCTCTTTGTCTTTATCTTCTCAGGCAGCGCTGCAAGCCTGCGGGGGAGCCGGGCGTCCCGCGCCACGAAGAGTTACACTTCTGCAACCTTTGGGCGGTTTTCCCGGTCCCGCAGTCACGGTGAGTCCGCATCGATTCCTGGCAGGGAGTCTTCCCCAAGCACACGAGGCGATTGAAAAGATCTCTGAAGCGGTTTCGCTGCAAATTCTAGTTTCTGACAGCTCCCGCTACGGTTACCGATTGTTGATCCAAGTAAAATAAAATCACTGACGACCTCTGTTTCTTCATTTATTATGTTTATTGGCGCAAGAGTGAGAAATGCCGTTTCCTTTACGTTGAAGAATCCGTGGTGAAAACTAGTCTGGATGTCGAAAGGGCCCCTGGCAGCCCAACTCTCGGATCCGAAGTGCGCCTGCGCAGTGCCGCGTCACCGTGACCCAGTGCCGCGCCTGACGTCACACCAGCGCGGGCTCCGAAGACGCTAGAGTGTTCCAGGAGCGGGGCGGGGTCGCGAGGGTGGGCGTGGCCGTGTTGACTCTGAGGGGCGGGATTGGCCGGCTGTCTGGCGCGTCATCAGGACGCGCCGGGAAGAACCAGGCCGAGGCGGAGCGCAGGGGCGGCCACTCGGGGATAAATGACCGCGCTCGGGGCCTTTCGAGATGCGGGTCCTTCTTGCCTGTTCTGCCGGGCGGCGTCTTCGTCCCCTTCGTCCCACTGGCCTGGCGCCCTGGAGCCGCGGCCGACGACGGAGAGCCGTGTACCTGGGGCCGCGTCCCCGACGACAGCCAGGTGCGGCCCCGGGCGCTGCGAGGGCGGGAAGGCGTCGGTGTCGGCAGACGCCTCTGCAGCTGTCAGGTCGAGGAGAAAGCGAATTCGGGGGGAACGTCTTATTCCAGCCAGTCCCTTGAGCAGAGACGGAAGACCCACCCTGCCCGCACCACACTCCAAACGCCCAAATCCGACTGCCGGAGACCCTGCAGGACAGGGTAGAGCTGCCCCTGTGGGTTTGCGGTGCTGTGACCCTCAACGGGAGCTGACTACCGCAGCTTGCTCCCCGGGAGCTGCTGGAGAGTTCGAACCGCGCCACCCGAGCGCCGCGCCCGCAGGCCGGGAGCTGACAGTGGGGTCATCTGAGGTCGGAGGCCTGGGCCGCCTCTAGCAGAGGCCGCGCTTCCCACTTGGGGGTGGCAGGGGGGGGTGAGGGGAGGCGGGTGACGGAAGGGGCCCCCCGAGGAGGAAGAGGAGGTGTTAGCTGAGGGAAGAGCGTGCCCTGCGGAGGGGTTCCAGCCCAGGGTAGGGAGCTACTGGGAAGATTTGGGCAAGGCCCTTAGACTTGGGTCTGGGAGGGAGAAGCGTTTCTGAGAGGTTGGTGGACAGCAGGTAACCAGGTGCACTTTGCGAGCCTCTTGAGTAACCTCTTCATCTGCAGGGCTTCCATGGTGACTGAAGAGCTTCAGCTTGCTGGTCTCAGGAAGCCTTGGTGGCACAGCGGCTACAGCCGCAGGAGAAAGATGTGGCCATGTGTCCCTGTAAAGGTGAAGCCACTGTAGTAGGGGTCACTGCCATCTGTGACTTTATGTAGGGCTTCCAATGCTGGAAATTTTGGGGGGAGCAGACAGCCTCATCTTCCCACTGAAAGGCTGCTGGGTTTGAACTGCTGACGCTTATCTACCAGCGCCAACCAGGCTCCTTTCAGCCTTGGGAGCCCTGTGGGGCAGTCTTGCTCTGCCCTGCGGGGTTTACATGAGCTGGAATCCGCCAGTCGGCTTCAAGCTCAGGCTGCACTCCCTGAAGAACTCAAGGTTGATGTCGTTAACGAGGACCCGGTGCTTGAGACAGCAGAGCAGGGGCAAGTCTCCTGTGTGCTGTAGGCAGTTCGTGCAGTCGAGCGCCTATTAACAGGCACTGTGTGTGTGTCAACAAGTGTAATTAATAGACAGAATTGTGCCTGAATGTCCCCTGGGCTGTCATGTCCCCGGAAGCTGTGTGAACAGTGTGGGAGCTGACACCAAGGCTGGAGAAGCTCCACCCGGGGTGATCCCCATGGACGCAGGCTGAAGGAAGGCCTGGTGGGGAAGCCCTGTCTGGGATGGGGCTGTGTCTGCTGGCTGCTGGGAGGGAGGTAGCAGAGGTGGGGGCGCTGCAGCCTATCCTGTTTCTGACATCTGCTGAGGTGTAAACCCCTGAGGCTGAGGTGCAGGTATGGCTGCTCCCTTCTAACCAAGCTCTCTCTTGTAGGTGACCCCCAACCCTCCAGCCCTTTTCCAAACGCCTCTCTCAATGGAGTTCCCTGACCTGGGGAAACACTGCTCAGAAGAAACCTGCAAGCAGCTCGGTGAGCCCCTTCCGGAGAGCCTCATTCAAGCTGGGCTGTCTGTGGGTGGCACAGGACAGCTCACTGAGCAGCTTTTTATTCCGTGGGGGGTCCGGCCTGGATTTTAGCAGTGGGTACCTGGCACAAAGTCCAGGCTCCCTCCAGCGCTGGGCATGGCAGCTTCCCAATGCAGTAGAGTAGGCCAGCTGCCAGGGCCCAAGGGAGGGGGAGGGGTCAGCTGTCTCTTTGGAGGGGTCGTCAGAGATCCGTGCTGGTGTTGAGCTCGTAGTCCTCCACCTCTCCGACTGCGTGTGAGGACAGAAAGAGAACGTCACAGCCATCCAGTGCGCCCTGCAACCTTCTCTCCTCGACCCTGAAACACGTCGTTTTTGCTTTTTCTGTTGTTTAGATTTTCTTCCTTTGAGGTGTGGTGCCTGCAACCAGGATTTCTGTAAGGACCATTTTATATTTGCGGCACACAGATGTCCCCTGGCGTCCATAAAGGTAAGCCAGGCATCACGCTGAGCGGGGTTCTGTCCTTCTGAGAGCCCCCCTGCCAGCCATGTGTGTGTGGCAGCCGCTGAGCGAGCCATCATACTTGAAAGCAAGCATTCGGTCACCTTCCAGGTGGGGGTGGCCCCACACGCACAGGGACTCGCCGACGGACGGACGGACAGCCAGGCCTCCAGCATTCCGTCCCCATAGGAGGTCTGTTGGCCAGCGTGGTGGACGGACTGGGGCGGCATGCTCTGCTGTGTGACTCCCCGCCGAGCCAGGTGCTGTGTGTCCGGACTTGGGTTGCTCTCAGTGCTCCACCACATCCATCCGTCTGTTTATCTGAGGCTGCAGGGTTTTCCTTCACCCTGAAGGGGCTCACTGTGGGGGCCCACAGCCCCGCCTTGGGTGGGATGCTCTGGACAGGGGTGGGGGGGTGGCACAGCGGGGGGGCACTGCACTTCTGACTCCATGTGCGTGGCTGGCCCCTCGTGGGCGGCCCTTGGGTCTCTGGTGATAGCTTCGGTGTGGAAGCATAGAGTTCACTGGAAGCGGATTCAGGACAGAGGCTGACTAGTTTTAAGCTTTTCATGGCCAGGTGCCTTGAGTTTTCTCGTTGAGGTTACGTGTTTTCCATTGTGGAAGGCACTTGGAGTAAAACAGAGAAGAAAAGTGTGTGTTAGGTGATGTGGAGCAAGGTAGACTAGTGAGATAGCTGTGTCCCAGGAGGTCTCTGGTACTGCGTCGGAATGGAGCCTTTTGGGGCAGACACATGGAGTTCCACAGGCCCTCTCCAAGGGCAGCACACTCACGGTGGCGTATCAGCTGCTAGAGCGCCAAGGCTGAACACGGGGTCACCTTCCATAGATGCTACTCTTCCTCGCTGACCTTTCCAGCCCCTGCTGGGGCCGTCCCCCAAGGCAGCCCTGGGAGCCCCGCGGGCCTGGGCCTTTACTCAGCCCGGGTGTGGTGGGTGCAGTGACCTCCCTCAGGCCCCGTGAGCTCTCGGTGTTGGTCATGTGGGACTGACTCCAGGCCCAGAAAGGCCGCAGCTGGTTGCAGGGCTGTGCGGCCTTCACGGCAGCCTCCCCTGGCGCTCTGGTCGGTGACCTGCCACAGGGGCTTTTCCCGACCAAGGTGGCTTCTACAGTTGCTTCACGGCCACCTCTAAAGGGTGCCATCTGTTCCCTCATTGCGCCCCTGTAGGATGTCCAGGTCCCGGAGTGCCCCCTCTGTCACAGGCCCATCCCGGTGAGGAAGGGCGAGCTGCCTGACGACGTGGTCTGGGAGCACATGGACCGAGGCTGCAGGTCTTACCCCGGGAGTCGCAAGAAAGTGAGTGCCTGGCCCTCAGCTCGACCCTGGCCACCAACCGGGGAGCGTGACCCTGTTTCTAGACACTTGCTTCTGGAGCACCTCCCAGGGTCCTGGGGTCTCGCAGCGGGAGCATGCCTCTGCCTGATTGGCATCTGCTGTCTCTGCCCCGAGTCTGGCCTGCGCACCCTGAAGATGACATGCTGCTGGGCCCCTGGGCCAGCGCCGTGGCCACTTGCGTGTGCGTGACCCTCCAGAGGCCTCCCTGCCACCCTCTGCTCTGCCCGCTGGCCGGCTTTTCCATCCTCCCTGCAGCCCGGCTCACTGCTCCTCTTCACGCTGCCGCTGCTAAGCCTGTACCCTGCCCTCTGCCCCTGCCCCGTGTGTTCTGCGTGTTCTGCACCAAGGGATCACCCGGTACCTTGACGGCACGGTGGCTGAAGTGCTCCTGTCAGGCATGGCTCCGCCTCAGCGCACAGGGTTCCTTCTGCTCTGTGGGTTTGCATCCATCTTTAGTTTGGGGCTGGGGTTGGGGGCTGCCAACACTGACTCACACGTCTGCCTGGTGCCCACTGCTCCCCTGCTCTTTAGAAGGCAAGGGGGCATCTGGGCCTTCCTAGCAGGGACCCTGGTTTTTGGGTTCCTGCAGCCCGTGGGAGGCTGGTAGATGCCCATTTTGGAGCTCAGGCAGTTGTCTGGCCTTTTTAGCCCCCACACACCCGCCCCGGCTCACCCAGCAGGGTGCTGCGCACTCTCAGGGACACTCTCAGGACCTCCTTCCCGGGGGTGGCCCTGCTGCTCGAGTGCGGGGTGCCAGCGGGTTTCCCTGCTGCCCCTGTCCTTATGTGTGTCCCCTTGCCAGAGTTGGCCCCTAGGACCCACTGGAAGACACAGCCTTCCTGTTGGCCTCTGGTTAGGTCTCGTTGCTGGCCCTGGGCCCTCGCTGGCATGGAGGCTCGTGTGGGCCCAGGTCTGCTCTGGGGCTGAAGTACGGCCCTGTAATGCCGTCTCCTCCCCTAGATCTTCAAGCACCGCTGCTCGCAGGACGGCTGCCAGAGACGAGAAATGCTGCCGGTGGTCTGTGACAGGTGTCGGAGCAACTTCTGCCTCCGGCATAGACACCCCCTGGACCATGACTGCCAGCCGGGAGGCCACCCTTCCAGCAGAGCTGGGTGAGAGGGGATGCCCACTGCCCAGGGCTAGCAGCAGGTGGGGGCAGCATCGGGGGCAGGGTTGCTTGGTCCAAGTGCCCCGTCAGATGGAGAGGATGTCAACTTCACACTTGTCTGGCACCAAACACGGAAGCCCTGTGTGATTGCCTCAAGCCGGGCACCACGTGGAAGCAGCGGCTGGTGAGCAGGTTGGTGGGTGGCACTGACCTGGATTTTCCACAGGGTCTCTACTCCAGTACCCACCCAAGCCCATGAGAGTGCCGGGCACGCTCTTCCCCAGCAGCTGGCGCAGCAGCTCAGGTACTGCCTACTGCCGGGCACAGGAGGGCAGCAGAGTGGCCTCTCGTTTCATCACCAGGACATTGTGGGTGGAGGGCTGGGGTTTCTAGCCATGCCGGGGTAGCCCCCACGCTCTTCCCTCAT